CTATTCTCTCATTTTATTTTATGAATAAATACAATCTGAAAAATATTCCCTTTCAAAGGAAGATTTTATGGATGTTGCATATGTTTTTAGTGGCCTTCTCCCCATCAATATAATCAAAATTCTGTAAGGATTATAATGCAATGATTTAATTTATGAAACATCTAATCACCATAGCATTAATAGGTAGGATGGAAAGAAGGAATGAAGGGTGCAAGGAAAGTAGGAAATAAAGTAAAAAGGAAAGGAAGAAGAAAGAAAGAGACAAAGGGAAGGAGGAAGGGAGGGAGAGAGAAGTATTTTCACCAAGGCATAGTAGCTTCTGTCAGATAACTTTCAAAAGGTTTGAAATAAATCTATGCTAACCAAACAAGTATCTCTTGAGAAAATTTTCATTCTAATTATCTGTCAAGGAAATAACTTGATCTGAAATGTTCATGGTTGTACCATATTAATGCCTCACTCAGAACCAGAATTTTCAACTTCTTGTGTCCACTTTTAAACAAACAAAACAAAAGGGAATTAAAAAATAATAGCTATGCTGAATGGGTGCTAAAGGGTCAAAATGAAGTTTCTGTCGTCACTATCTCACTAAAACCAGAAGAAGATCAAAGTAAAAACACTAACAACATCCAATATGTCACCCTCTGGCATAAGAATATTATACTAATTTAGAGACTTATGAGATATTTCTAAGACAAGGAGAAAAAAACTACGACTAGAACACATTAAGATGAAAAGCTTGGATTTCTCTGGATTTTTTTTTCTTTTTGATGAATATATCTTTGCGTTATTGACTTTTCAGTGGAATATTCATAGTAGTGTAAACAGACTCTTTGAAAATAAGGCACAAATAGATGTTGCTCTCTCATGATCTCCCATGAGACTGCACCAAAAGAGTGATCCCAGGAAATGGACTTGAGGCACATTTTGCAGAGGTATATCTTTTTCAGTTTGCTGGTTTCCTACAGATGGCTAAAGCAGGGGTATGGAACATGCTGTCATATTTCATTCATAACACACATGTACTATAGCTCTAGGCAACAGATGGACAATCACTTGTTTAAACTACAAATGTGAAATACTAAGGTAGAATAGCAATATTTCTAGAAATGTATATGAAAAAATAAAGCCTTTCCAAGCCAAGAGGAATGGTGAGAGGCTGTGAGGTTACATCAGTGTTTCCCTGATCTTTCTAGCAGCTGCCATAATTTCCCCAACACCCTTCAAAACTTGATAATGGAGGGATCAGGGGGCAGCCGACACAGATTTGACAAGAGAAGCCCAAACCACATCAAATAGAAATAACACTGTTATTCCTGGCTGGTTCACATTAATAGGATTTTTGCAAACTAGGAAAACGGTTGGAAGTTGTGTTTTCAAAGTCCTGTCTATATTCCATTAATTCTCTACTATAGCCCCATGGAAAAGACACTCTTTCCTTCCTTCCTCCAGACCCAAATATAAAATATTTGCTTAAACATAGGGCTTTGATATCTATTATTTCTCACCATAAACATCTTTGCAGACTCTTTCACCAAAAACAATGATAGTGTTGATAAGGCTACCTCACTGAAGCATATGCCCAAAAAAGTAATTTTGATCAGAGAAGTTGCTCCTACAGAAGTGACAATGTGTTACTGACAAGAAAAAGAATCCACCTCTTTAGGCTTTAGGCTGCAGACATGTCATCATCTCAACCGGATGTCTTGTGCTAGGACACATGACTTATCTGTGGGTTTTAAAGGCAATTTTGTTTGCCAATGAGACTCTGCATTGAGTCAATATGATCTGGTGATCCAATTAGGAAATCTTTTTTTTTTTTTTTTTTTTTTGAGTTGGAGTCTCACTCTGTCACCC